CCAGAAATATGGTAATCTGCTTTTCACTGCAATTAACAATTCTTCATGGGTTTTAAATAAATTATGCCTAGAGCTAGGAAAGATGGAAAGCCATTGAGGTTTGATGTATAGGGTGTTTTGTTTGTATGAATACTCTGGTATTTGCTTTCTTTTTATCTATCTCTAACTGTTTATTATATCTGCAATGGAAAGTACTTATGTATTTTTGAATGTTATGATTAGCCATTTAATTAAAAGCTCCCTTACATTTATTTTTAGAGTACAGCAGATGGGAAAAGAGGTCTAACATTTTTCAGTCTCTATTATTGAAACAAATCTATAAAAAGCCTTGTTAGCCATATCCCAAAGCAATATATAAACACTGTGCTCAACAAAAGCCAGAATTACTACGAACAGTGAACAGTTCATTTGTTAAACATATTTATTATGTGTCTACTACGTGCCAGACACTGTCTTAGGTTCTGGAAGAACAGCAGTGAACAAGAGTCACTCTGAGTCCTTAAGGAAGTGATAGTCTAGTGTAAGCTACATAGTGAGAAGTTACAAACAGTAATGTTAGTGCATCAGCTGGGTAGATCATGATGGTTTGGGCTTGGGGAAGGGGTGGGCAGATCTTTATGGAGGAAGTGCTGTCTGAGCAGAGACATGAAGTATGAGAAGCCATCAGGTAAGAGTATGGATGGAGGGAAGAGGATACTTCTTGTGCAAAGAGCTTGAGGGAAAAAAGTCATGGGACAGCATGCTGCCCAGATCCCATAGTCCTGGGGCAGACGTAGTGAGGAGTGGAGGGTTGGAGAGATATAGTAAAAAAAGCAAAAGGGACTTTGAAGTGCCTGTTAAAAACTTTAACTTGGAGGCAATGGGAAACTCATGAATGTTCTTGAGAGCCGGCCTCACAGACTCAAATCAATAAAGTGACAACCAGTGTGAAAAGAGCTAAGTAGGCTGAACAGTTACCCCCCCCACCCCCCAAATGCCTATGTCCTAATTCCAAGAACCTGCAAATAGATTACCTCTCAGGCAAAAGGGACTTTTCAGATGTGAGTCATGAGCCTTGAAATGCGGAGATGACCCTAGATTGTCAGGGTGGGTCCAATCCAATCACAAGAGTCTTTCAAAGTAGAGAACGTTTCTCAGCTGAGAGTAGATGTGACATTGCTGGCTTTGAAGATGGAGGAAGGGGGCCGTGAACCCAGGAATGTGTTCTCTAGAAGCTGGAAAAGACAAGGAAATGGATTCTATCCTAGAGCCTCCAGAAAGCAACACAGCCTGCCTGATACCTTGGTTTCAGCCCAATGAGACCTCTACGAAACTTCTAATCTGCAGAACTGTGAGACTGTGAGACTGTGAGACTGTGAGACTGTGAGATAATAAATTTATATGGTTTTAAGCCACTTAGTTTGTGGTAATTAGTTACCACAGTGATAGTGAACTCATAAGCTCAGAGTCTTTAGATGGAACTGTGCAGAGGCCACTGTATTTTGTTTCTATGTGAAGCTCTCTTACGAGGTCAGGTGGAGGATCTTTGGTATATAAGCTGAGATGGGTTGGCAAATAAGGCAGTTGAGGAAGAGCAAAGAGGTGTGTGTGCGTGTGTGTGTGTGTGTACGTGCGTGTGTGTGTGTGTTTTAACTTAAAGAAGGAGAAGAAAGTAAAATGTGTTGATATCAAATAATTCACAGATTTCCTTTAAGGTAAACTCATTCCATAATTTTTATAAACTGAATCACTTCCTTTAGGAGAAAATTAATTTTACCTCATCAAACTTATTTATTTGGATTGGAATGTGTCGGTCTTCAAGCAGGTCAATTCAAAACTTCAAAGGAATAATCTAGCCTTCTGTCTCCTGCTCTGCTTGGTCAGTCTGTCCTCTCCATTAGATCTCACATCTGCAATAATCCCAAAGGCTTCCTCATATTATAGTTGTACAGCTGAGGAAACATAAAGATAGAAGTGTCCTGAGCATAGCATCCATCATCCATTCTGATTATCAGAAATTCCAATACACTAGGTAGGTTCTAATATTCATAAAGGTAATTGGTAAAGGAATTTCACAAAAAGGTACCCATTGGGTATTATTTGTATGGGTCATTTTAAGTTTGCTTGACCTTGAATGGGAATAAATTTAGGAGACTGAAGAACCCAAGAGACCTGAGACAGAGATCTTTTCTCCACTGTGCATCGTTTATGCTCTTCCAGATATGAAGGAAATAGTTAATCCATTTATATGAACACTGAAGTAAAGTAAAATCCATATCCGATGTCTAACTGAGGGAAAAGAACATAGCTACAAAGGAATGAGAGAGGG